AAAGTCCTCACTCACATCTTCGAGACCAGCCTCTTGTCCACTTTGCATAATCTTGGTTTGTTGGATAAAGGACGTCACTATGTAGGAATCGAACGAGTCCGCTGTCGAGGCTTTAACGCTCCAAAGACCTGTCGTCCCAGCAAAGAAATTATCTCCACTGCTTCCCGTACTTTCAACTGTGATCCCTGACCGTATCCTCTTGATAGAGCCCTCATCCTTCATACCCGAGCAGACGTAAAGAGCATCTCGACCTGGGAGACTCGGTTCCCGTGCACAGAAATCCAAAATCGGAGAGCTATTAGGCAGATCGCATATGTCAAACAGTTCAATATCATCCTCCTCCTCTCTGATCGCCAAGATTCTGCCGTCGCCCTGGTCGTTTGAATAGAGCAGATAGTCTGTGTTGAGGGTAATCTCCTCGTTCAAGTCACCCATGAGACGCTCCGTGGGAAGGTGGTCTCTCGCCAGCACGGTTAGGACCTCCCCGATGGGTCGATCTCCAGAGATGAGTTCAAAGGCCATAGTGTAGGTCAAATGACTGACGTTGACACGGTAGAGTTCAGCGGTGTCGCTGCCGAGGTAAAGTGTTTGATCGCTGAGGGCAACTCCAGACGGCGGCGGTGTAGAGCATGCCGAAATGAGAGGATAAGTGCTGATGCCATTGATCTTTTCCTCTTCACTCAACTCGCGTTTCTCCAGTGGTAGCGAGTAACGGTGGTGATGTTTCAGGGAGCGTGATGTGTCGACCCCTCGAGGTGGTTTTTCGACCGTGACAAGTGTGATTTTCTCCTCCTAAAACGATTTTTGGGAGGTAAAAGAAAAGCCACGTAAGTTTAACGTCAAATAGAATATTAATCGCCTACACTCGGAAACCAAAGATCATCCTCCACGCACGTCGATATAAACCAAGGAGCAAGGGATGTTCGGCAGAGACTTCATAAGCAAAATCGACTGGGAAGGGTCAAGCTTGACTTGACTTGTACCAAGCCTGATCGAGAGGGATCTTTCAGGATGATTAGGGAACTCGATATGAAACGTTGCAATGTGGTATTTCTCGGATTCTTGACTGAAACGTGGAATGCCGATTATTTGTTCCGAATTCGTAGTAAAGAAATGATTAGTAAAAAAGAGGTAAAAGCTTTCCCATCATAGCGGGAACGCGATCAAAATCATTCTACAGCGCAAAAAGAGCAACTCACTTGAACAAGGTGACAGCAAGAATGACTACATCTTCAGGATCGTAAGGGTCTGCGGTCAAAAAATCCATGCTGATGATAGTCCCATCCAGATCTATTCCCGCCACCTATGTATTTTCGAATAAAAAAATGAGTAAATGATTCAATCGTGTTAGCAAACTCTTGGATCTTTGGCTCTTGTCGGTAACAGTCTAAAGATAGCGAGAGTGAGAAAGGATGAGACAGGGGGGGACTGTCCCGTGTATTACCCTATCCACCGGGTCGAACTGTGACCGTGTAGTACTTCGAAGTACAACTATCTGGATGTGATTCTGAAGAGCCGATACTGCCATCATACGATATCTGGAGGGGGGGGAAGGGGAGAGAACATCCAAAAGGCATGGCGTTAGGGGCAGAATTTTCCGATGTACATCCACGTAAGATCAACGCCACGGTGTCCATGTCCTTACGTGGGGTCAATGGCAATCTTTGCTCCAGCCTCTTTATAGTTGAATCCTGGTTCCGCTATCCTAGCCTATGATCATATGGATATAACGAGCGAATTTTAGTTGGAGCAAATAAGAAGCGGTAGTCTTTGTCGCCCAGGTGCCTTGCAGCACTCTCGACAACAATAAAAGATGATAGCACTTACCTCCTTCAAAAGGTAAAAGTTGCCTCGTTGACAACTCTTGTCGTCAAACTGAAAGGTAAAGAAGGACAGCATTCCCGAGTCCGAGGTCGCCACTAAAACGTTTGGCGATGCCGATTTCGGCAAGTACCCATAACGTGGTCTATCCGGTACAGGCTTATTTTCCGTGTTTTCGCGCTGATCCACATCCATCGCGTCATCGCCATCCTCGAGCTCAAACTTGCAGTTAAGGGACTTGAGGTCTCTGATCTTCCCAAACACGGATTGTTCGTGAACTAGCTCTAAGGAACCCATTGGTCGTCTTGTTTCGTCGTCTACCTCTACCACGAGTCTGTGGAGCGACAAGAACGTTCCCTGTAGAGCCGTTTTGAATAACATAACCGTAAGATGACATTCTCCCTGCAATATGCTTTTCGGCGTTCGCTCGCCTCCTTCAAAGAATGGGCATGCATGAACGGCTTCTCACCTTCCCTAAGACAATGTCGATTTTGGGCTCGTTTGGGTTCTCGGCCACGTCTTTTGGACGGCGAGTCCAGTGGACGACGCATGCCTGGTGAATCGCACTTGGGGGCTGAAGGTGTCGGGTGTAGACCCTCACGTTGGAATAGTCCTGGTCGGGGTCCATCTCAGACATGGGCTTGTCTTCATGAGCTTCCATGCGGTTGTCTTTTAAAGAAAGGCGTTTGCATGCATGCCACTCTATCCCCTTGTGACCGCGTTCGTCGTTCAAGCCACACGAGTTTGCCACCAAATATTTTCAATATTTTTGAAAAGATGCAGAGAGGTTTATTTTGGTATGAACAGAAGGCAAAAAAAAGAAGGGTTCAAGTAAACGAGATTAAGCGTACTGGTTCTTGAGAACAACAGCACCGGCAACAACCGCAGCAGCGGCCAAGATCGTACCACTGGTGCCAGCCAAGACACCGGCCTTGAGACGAGTAACCTCCTCTGTTGAACCTGGGTAAAGGCTCTCACAGACCTGTTCAATCTCGCCACAGAGGATACCAATATCGATGAAATGCGGGTCCAGGGGATTCGACTTGTTGTTGATCTCGCGAGCATACAACCGGAAGATGGCCGCGACCGACTCGATGCTGGTACATTCCTTCATCAACCAGACGGTCTCGCCCTTACGGATCTTGATATTCTCATGCGTAAAGATCTTGTAGTTGGTATGGAGCATTCTCAGGGTCGCAATGGCCATGACCTGGGGGATGGCGCAAAACTTGAAGCACGAAGGGTTCTTGATCATGTTCAAGTACTCGAGGACATCCTTCATGTGCTTCATCGCGTTAAAGACCATATGACTCAGGCACTGAAGGGCTTTATCGTGGTTCTCGGGCTTGACGAGATCCTCCATTGTATCGGCATATTGACCCCAGATCTCCTTGGGCCAGAAGAAACGCTTGTCCCTCAAATCCTCGAGGAAATCACGGGTGATGTTAGTCTTTTGAAGGAAAAGTCCCATCGAATTTGAGAGATCCTTTCTCTTGGCGACCATGGGTGCTATTTTTGCGTGCAAATTAAACAAGGCATAAAAATATTAGCCCCCTGTGCTTTGCCTCCAAAAGAGGACCGTGGATCGCTTTGCAACTGACTGCCTTCACTCTGTCCACAAATATCACCGGTTGGAGCACACCTACATTCAAATCCACATGCACTGAACATATCACTCAATCCCAAACCGACAAGCCCGGCGACGTAATGGCAATATTCGTCGTAGTCAGCATTGGTGTTCACACAGATTCCGGCGGTGGCATAATGAGCCATACCATCGCCCATACGCTTGGTGATGTCAGCAATGATGGTCTGATAGGCAGGGTTCAGCTTCAAGAACGCCTCGATAACAACATCAAACTCGACCAACAACTGACGATCCTTCTCGTTGGGTCCGTCTAAATAAAACAAAATGGGGGTTAGGCACGTGTGAAGGTTAGTGAAAGAACCTCCTTCCTCTTTCTCCGGAGGATTGCTGCTCCATAGAAAAAAAAGACAGAAAAAACAGCGATCGTCAAAATCCGGAATACGCACTCTTAGTAAAGGTCCAGCCTTTCTGGTAAATAATCTCATGAAAGGTCTTCAAGTAAGGGAGTTTGATGTCGAGATCAAGCGTCATATCATCCTCTAAGTGCATCAATAATAATAACAAGGTGTGGGCGGGCGGTCAGTTCGTGTCGAAACAGCGAGAGTATTCATATTCTGGCAATTAGATGATTCTCCGGAAACTGGAGTTCGTGGCGGCTATCCTACCGATGGTGTCAAGTCCACGCAACACGAGGTAGAAAATACAAATCTAAGGGCACATAAATGAAAAAAGGATGGTGAATAAAGAATGAATGATCAGCTCACTAAGGGTTGAGCTCACTCAGTGTCGGGGTTACACCAACATGTTGTGGGACAGTGCAGCGATCCACGTCTGGGTGCTCCATAAGCTCGTCGTTTTCTCCACGGAGAACGTGGCCAAGTCAAACAAGCTGCAAGATCGGGAAATGCTGTTGATAAGGACAAGAATCGGGGAACTTACAGCATCCTTGAGTTCCTCGTCCAAGTCCTGGATAACGGCAGCGAAACTGCGCGAGGTCATACTGAGGTGGTGGTAAAGACGCTGTCTGTTCTTGTCATTGCTGTAGTCGTATTTGGCTTTAGGCGCGAGCTTGTACTGGACCAAGGCGACAACCTCGGAGGGATGGAAAAGAGAGGCGAGGATAGCAGAGGCCATTGTGGATATGGATAGGTATTGCTAAGTTGAAGTGATATTTTCAAGACGACTGTGAAAATCAGAGAGAGGAGAGGGCGAAGAGAATAAATCAGCTAATCGAATGAAGAAAAGCTTAATGAGAGTAAAGGACAAGATGAATGAAAGAGAGGGAATGGATGAGGATGGCCGGGACTGATGAAGGAAAAGAAGAGAAAAAATGCGGGAAAGAAGTGAGACCGAACAGAGGAAAAAGAAACGCCGACCACGGGCTGACAAAATTCTCTGTCCCTGATCGATTTTTGTTGTGCTGTGGTAGTTGGCCTGGAGGGAGTCTGATCTGCGTGGCGGGTCTGACCATATTTTCTTGCAAGTGAGAGAGTCCCAGATCGAGTGTTGATCATCCGTTGTCCAATCATCGCTTCCAAATAAAATCAGGCCATAAGCAAAAAAAATGCACGGTGGACTGTGCAAAAATATGTGCCCTCGGCCGGATTTGAACCAGCGACCTCTTGTTTACAAGACAAACGCGATAACCCCTACGCTACGAGGGCGACACACCCAATCAGAACCAATCAGAATCTGTTGTGGAATATTTGCTTTCGAAAAAGTTTCATTTTTGAACTCTCCACTCCGGCTTGTAAACCCTTAAGCGAGTAAATGAGGCCCCTTAACGAAATGGGATTGTTGGTGGCCCCCACTGCCAAGATAGAACCTTGCATGTTTATTTTCTCGCACATCTGGGAGTCACCAAGCACGTACGAACAGAGCACCATAAATCTCTTACCCATGTCGAGGGTTGCAGCTGGAACCGACTCTACTTCATGTTGAGAATGGCGCCTGCACGATTATCTTCTACAGCACCTCTTTTTTATGGTGATAAAGTACTACAAGGTCAGTCCGTTGTTCAGGATGATCTGGAGAAGTTAGCGTATTTGATGAAGGATTCCATCGATTGACACGAGTAAGCATGGAATCGAGGTTAGCAGCGATCATCTCTTGTGTGTAATGATCGTTAGGTAATGTGAGGGACGTTTGTACTCCACGAAGTTGGAAGCCAGAGGCATACACTTACTCCGATCGACTGTAGCCAATTATACCGCTAATCCCATCTTGACTTCGGTGTGCTAACCACGACTATCAATGTTCTACTGCATGTCCAAAACGACTTGAAAGGGCGACCTCGGATATCTTGGCGCGCCACGCCAAAAGGGATCGAGGGCAGGACATGACTCCCTGGATTCAGTCCACCAACTCGAGTGTTAAGGCGTAGCGTATGACGTCTAAACTCATTTATCTATGCGTTGGGACGTCTTCGGCCAAGTCCTAGTTCCCTCCGTCGCTCTTTTTATCAAGTCAAGAAAGGTCAAGGTCGAAAATGATTCGAGCTGTTCTCTCCAGGTCAAGAAGAAGAATGCGAGGTGGGGTCTAGCTATTCAGGTCAAGACCAGGATCGAGATCAAAACCAGGAGCGCGAAGTCGAATCAAGAGTGGCAAGGAACAAGGGGCGACAGCGCCAGAAGCGTCATAGCGCTAGTCTGTGGTGGATTTCTATCATAGGCTGACACGGGCTAACTTTGCGAACAAGATCAAGAATTTATATCAAACAACTCAGGGCATCGCGGATATCATGGTCGATCGATATTCGGGTGTGGAAGGTCTAGCGTTGTTCCAAGACCATAGAATGGGGGAAAGCTGTTAATGTCACTGCTGTGAGCAAACATGCTAGGCTTGGACGTAGCAGCAGTGATTATAACAGCTTCTTCCAGGACAGATCCGAGCCGTATATGTGAAGAAGGTCGACAAGGTCGCGGACAAACGGATCAAACAAGCCTACCTGGGAACGACGGTTTTGAACGTGATGGAGAAGACTAGAGCCATAACATATTTATTGGGTATAAAAGGCCACTCATGTGGATACAGCCGTAAGGTGTTAGTTGCGCAAAGTTGCATGTTGCGATAAAAAGAACACAGGAGGAAACCGTTCATGGACGGCGACTGAGTAGTGCATAAGCATTTTATTACATCATTCTTCCTTAGCCGATTAACGTTACGTTATGCTTACAGGAAACGTAGAATAAAGTCCATGCCTGTGAGGGCCCTTTCAAAAGAAAAAAAAAAATCGCTTGAAAAAACGAGTTTTCATGGTGTGTCCTCGCTGTCCTCAATCGCAACCAAGATCATGGAAGGACGCGTGAAAGACGCGCGAGGAACGCGTGCATGCCTCTCACACCCACCATTTGCTCATCAAGCTCTTTATTCTTCAAGACTCCAAGACTTGCTCCATATGAGAGCTTTAATTATCGTCTTTGTGGACAGAGTCGGAACGAGAAAATGTTAGGATCTTAGATTGTTCGATATTGATATGGAAGGTCACGTACACTTCTATTTCTTATTTTTATAAGTAGTAATCCATCCATGCCTTTCTTTTCCTTCCTGGAATCAAAGAAGGAGAGTTTTCTTGTTTTCTTTCCGTCTTTCAGCAAAGTCTGCATGTGTTGCATGAATTTTCAAAACCTGCTGAGCACGAACGGAAGTGAAAAACAAAATTTGACCCTTTTTTTTTTTTTTT